ACAACCCACAATTAAGGCTCGGCGAGTTGGGGGATAACTCAGCATTCTGCAGATCACAGGTCCAGCTTTTTCAAGAAAGAAAGAAAAAATATATATATCTATTATTTTTAGCTCTCATAGTAATTATTCCCAATAGGACAAAATTTCCCAAATCTTCATGAAATCAACATGACTGGCATTTTAAATCAAAACAACTCCATTTTTACAGAAATCTGGGTACAATATTTTATTTTGCAAACAAATAGTTTTTTTTTGTTTTTTTTGTTTTTGTTTTTTTAGTTTGAACTGTAAAAGCGACAAGAGAGAATTTAAGTTTAAGCAAGTTATGGGTACTAGAAAACCTATATAACTAAAACTGTCAAATTAGTCTTCCTTAAAGCCCTACAAGCTCTAGTGATTAACCACTTTCTTTGTTCTTCAACTTTCTTGTCAATTAAGTATTATTTAAAATCCATCCATGTGGGACTACTTAAAAGTCACTGGCAAAATTGCTTTAATCAACCGTAAGAAAAGCATTCATTAAAAACTATTCAACAAAGAACAAAATTCATGTTATGTTAATAAAGTTACAGAATTTGGGCATGATGTCAGTCTTGGTTACAGCTACAATGGAGATTAATAAAAGTTACCAAAAAGTTAATAAAAGAAAAACAATACCTATTATGTATAGGGGTGTGTGTGTGTGTGTGTGTGTGTGTGTGTGTGTGTGTGTGTATTTCTAAATTTTGAATAGTCCCCTAAGAGGCAATCAATGATTATTTTAAAATACAAATGAACTTTCAAAATGGCAGAGATACCTTGGTTTTTATCTGAACTCTGGATCAATTCTGGAAAACTGTAGATCTGAACCACTAAGTCCTTAAGTAGGTTGACCAACCTTATTGATGCCTGTTGTCAGGGTGTGATTACTAAAAGTGGCCCCTCCAGCCTCATAAGTGTTCCAGTTACAATGTCACCTTAGCTTTAAGAGGCATTCTACATGGTGTCCTTATGGAGCTAGAGTCGACTCCCAGGACCTACGGTATTACTGCTGTTAGAAGAGATGGCCTGGGATCACTGCGATGCTAATTGTTTAATTAGAGTCCAAGTTTGGTTAATGAACCCTAAACCAAGTCTGGTAAATTAAAATCCAAAGAAGTCTAACTATTTCAGGATCTTTTGAAAATCTAATATTCAAGTTCACAAAAATGGAATAAAATATGTATGTTGTCTTCTCAGCAATAAAAGTTAGTATGAGATGTCAAGCCAGGGCATTAATTAGAACGAAATATTATAAGGGTGAGAATATTCTATTCCTACATGGGTATGAGTATAATCATAAAACTTGAGTTATTGCAAATTATTTTGTTTCCAAATGGCAAGAGAGGGCATAGATTAATTTAGAGAAGTGTTGATGGTCATTCAAAGCTAAATGTAGTGACGATCCATTTAGAAAGCAGACTGAGGGTATTATAAATGTCGAACTGCCTTAGATTTGAGCAAAGGAATATTAAAGCCTAATATATCAGAAAGACTGTGTGAAACAGGTGGATTTTGAGAGTTTGATTGTAACAACGCTGAAATATATCTGGATCAGCTGCCTGAAAGATAGACACGCTCATCTGCAAATACAGATACCTGCAAGTGAGCCACAAAATAAGCAAGGTACTACCTTTTTCCATTAATCAAAATTTTCAAATAAAAATAATATCATTTACCTTTATACCACGATTTTTTTAAAGAAATGACAACAAAACAAAAACAAAAGCCCTTTCTCAGATGAGAAATCCGTCTTTCCTAATGCAAGAAGTCTATTATAATCTTTGGAGAGATGCATCTACTTTCACTATTAAAGTGTTTCATGATTTGATGGTCAGGTTAGGTAATAATGATTTTGGAGGACAGAAATACAGAACATTATTACAAATTAGGACAAAAGTTTGACTTGCCATAAAAACAAGAGATAAGCTATTGTATAAACATCACATATTTCCTAGTTTTAAAAAATCTGGATTTTATATTTTCTCCTGATTTGGATTTCCTGTTAAAAATAAATGCTGGTAGTTCCTTTATTAGACTGGATTTTTTAATGGATAAATTTTGGTCCCAGCAGCTGCACATCTGATTATGCATAAACAGAATTAAAGAATTTCCTTTCATTAAAATTATAAACCTAGCTTTATTAGGCAGTAAAACTTCCTTTACAAATGAAAACCATCATTAATCTTTATATCACAGAATCTACGAGGCAAAAGAAAAAAATCAAGTATATTAATTGGCTGAATGTTCATAAGTGAACATTTAAAATGTCATGCTCTACTTAAAACATTTATTTTGCTTTTGGAATTAAAAATGTTTTGTGCATACAAACATTTCACATTTAATTTTATTTCAAATGTTTATCTTTCAAACACAGAAATTCTCACATTATAAAAACTAAAACCTTTAACCAACTAGATTAGAAATAAAATACCTAAAATACAACACATAGTAAAGAAGCAGATTCAAGATCCCAAAATGAGCTCATCCCTCTTCCTTCATTCTGAACACACTACCAAGTTGCTAAGTAACTTGCACGAGGTTGTCCAGGTGGCAGAGGCTCTGGCAGCAGGGATGAAAAAGACAGTCCCACAAGGGCAGCCACTTTTGTGGATAGGTTGTCTGTGAGTTGAAAAGATGCAGCTCAGGATACAGGGATGCCAAGGGGGCTAGAGTTCAGATGGCACAGGACCAGGGAGGATAGATTCAGAGAGGGAGGAAGGGAACTTTGGAGATCTTCAGAGTTTCCCTTGAGTATTCAGTTGAGCGCTCATCAGTGGAGGTGTGTGAGGAAACAACCCAAGACAGGGAAAAGAGCTACTGGAGAGGATTAGAGAAATCAATCCCAGGAGCTCATACAGGGCTGGGGATAGTGCCTGTTCCTACCAACCAGAGTGAAAAATCTGAAGCATAAGAAAGAGTATACAGAAGGGATATACCTTAGTAATGGTGTAAGTTTAGTCCTAGATTAGACATTACTTGAATGCCATCTAAAACAACATAAAAGCAAGACTCAACTGCTTTTAAGCAGCTTAATGATTTTGTTCTGGGATACTGCAGAACAAAACTCAACAATGAGATTAAAATTTTAGAATTTGGACATACAATAAAAAATAACCAGGCATGCACAAAGACAGGAAAATATAATCTATAAAGATAAAGGAATCAATACTTCAAGAGAATATAACAATCCTAAACATGTATGCACTTACTAAGAGCTTCAAAATATTAATACTTGAAAGAAAAACTGACACAACAGCAAAGGGAAATTGAAAAACCCACAACTGTACTCTCATATTTCATCACTCTCAGTAACCGATAGAACAAGTAGCCTAAAAATCACCAAGGACATAGAAGACTCCAACAACACTATCAACAAACTTGACCTAATAAATGACATTTAAACCACATTCCACAAAATAAGAGCAGGAAACGCATCCTTAAATTGTATGGTCAATGTCTTAGAATATTTAGCTGAGGTAGATTTTATTCTGAGCTCTAAACCAGTCTCAACTAATTTTAAAAGAATTCAAGTCATATTAAGAATATCCTGACCATAATGAAATTAATATAGAAATCAGTAACTGAAAGACGA